AAGGAAAAGGAAAAGGAAAAGGAAGAAAAGGAAAAGGAAGAAAAGGAAAATATCCCTATTTTCTAATTGACTGAGTACTTTTTTTTTTTTTTTTTTTTTTTTGGCACTAAACAGATATTCCCTAAAACACCTTTCTTACAAAAATATAACCCCAGTAAGATTTACTATCTCAGCATTGTGTTTTATATTTTTCCTATTCACAGAATACTTATATGTCTGGACATGAAACTGAGTTTGAAAGTTGTGTATTGATTCTTGTCTGTTTCATTTAAACTCCTATGCTGGTGCTCAAGCAGAGAAGGAGTAAGAATGATGTTCCAGATCTTTTAATATATTCTAAATTCCCAGATGTGAAATTCAATTGCGTGAGTGCTGGCAAAAAACAAGCTTTAAGAGGGGGCGCAAAGACCAGCAAAGTAAATTTATTTTTTTAATTGGGAGCATAGTGAACACAATCCTCAGAAAATGCAGCATAAGAATTTTGTATTAGGAGCTTGTTCATGGAGTACCTTGATCTCAGCTAGATGAGATGCAGTTGACATTTGGCAGACAAAGCTCTAGGGAAAGCTGGTGGATGGTAAGAAATAAGACATTTGGTGCAATTAGCTGTGGTACCAACCCAGGAATGAAAGTAAACAGGCACAACATGAGGATGAGAGGATTTTTCAGAATTAAGGCCTAAACAGCTCATGGCTGCAGGAATCCCCTGCTCTTTGTACATTCTTTGGCAATTCTCTCTTTAAATAACTGGTTTGTCTGCTTCTAGATCCTGGATAACTGCAACTGGGTTTGGCTTCTCCCTGTCTGCTCTTGCCCATCCCAGTATGTGCTGTGATACTGCACTGTTCCCTGGAACAGCTGCCTCAGCCCACATCTGCCACAAAGGGCTGCAGGATTAAAAATTAAACTAATACACATTTAAGAGATCTGGATGGGCAGGGTCAATCTAAATTCTGAACAGACTGAAATGACTGCAGGGCTGTCAGCTTTTATATCCTTGAGCTTTATTGGATATTATACTGGGCAGAGAAATGGTCTCTATTTAGGAACAATTCATGCTATTTCATGAAGTGACTCCCTAGTCATTTGTCTTCCACAGCAGCTCTCATGGGAAAGCAGGTTCTTTCCTTGTAGTTTTACTCATAGATATCTTGCAGAATTTCCATATCCTTAAGTCTTACCTTTTTAAAGCAAAAATAGCAAAATTTCAGGTTTCTTTGCTTAGTCTCCAAAAAGTTGTAGCACTTACAGAAATACACAATGACTATCATAGGAGAAGCTAAATGCTCTGTCTGAGCTTGTGTGACAACCTTTGGTTTTCCCAGACAAATTAATTGGCCCTTAATTTGCCAAGGAGGAGTAGTTTTCCTGGAAAATAACTGAGCCAAAGAACCTGGGCAACAATGGTGCAAAAAGTCTAGCCTTCTAAAACCAACTTAAAAATCATTAAAGTTTCCCCTTTCAAATTGGAGAATTAAAATATTGCAGGCACGTTAGTTTTAATTTAGAGGTAATGAGCAATGTTAGGATAAAGAAGAAACCATTTCCCCTTCTTTGAGTCTTCTCTTTATCTACCAGCATTCCTGCATTGCTGGAGATGCTCTCGCTGTCAGCACCTGCAGGAAGCAAGTGGTGAGAGGAGTGGCCAGGGACTCAGTGTCTCATCTCACACAGCAGTTAACTACTCCAAAATGTTTTAAATCTGAGAGGGGCACAGTAAGGAGAGGAAAAGAAGGAAAAATACTACCCCCACTGCATAAATAAACCTGGAAGATGCTCTGTTGGAATTGTCTGTTGGGAAAGTTCTTGAATTACCACAGACAAGCAGAACCCCCAACCAACAGACTTGTAAATCCAGGGATGGCCGAGAAGCTCATGGAAAACACCAAACCATTACAGCTGTTTGTGTGCTGTCTTGACAGAGAACACTGTGAGGGATTGATTTCTGTCAATGAAGGGAATAAATGCTTGTGGTCAAGATGAGGGATACTTTGACTCCTTAAGAGGCCAAAAAATTATGCACTAAAACACATAAGAAAAATAATTTAGTTCTATTATTGGGTGGCCTCAAATTCATGAAGGTTCAGAGATCTTACTTTTCTACATATCTAAATAATCAGTCTTAAGTTTGCTACAGTAAAGATCTAATTACTTTGTCTGCTGCAGCTACCTCCCTCTCCCCTTAACATTTTGTGGCAGAGTGTCATGGACTATTGCTACAGCTTCAAATTTATGATTAATTCCTCTTAAATTATTAAGAATCTCTTTTTCTACCTGTAGACACATTTTGTCTACCTTCATCAAACTCCTCTGTAACAATTTCACCCTCAAAACACCATTTCCCCTGAAATTATTTTAACATCCCCAAAAAGTTATGGCATCCTTTGTTTTTCAAAGTGGAGGATTTTTTTAAAAAACCTTCATCCTTCCTCCTAACAAGAACAGGATGTGCAAAAACCTTGATTTATATAAGCCTTCCTGAAAAGCATGAGAGAAACTCTGGAATCAGTAAAAGCCAGTGTGTGAAAGTATAAAGAAGTCAACCCACTGTGAAAGTACATTGCTCTACCAGGATACATTAAGAAGACAAAATTTCAGGCCTCAGTTTTACAGAAACTGTACAAAATACAATAAATTACTGGGATTGTTCCCCTATGTCACTTTAGTTAACTGGGCACATTCACTAGGATACATGAATGGATTATTTGGCAAAGCACTATCTTATTGCCTACAGGAATTACAGAAGCTGCTGTCCAAATTTTAGGAATTGTATGGATCACCTAAAAAAATTGAAAATAAGAAGCCTTACTTGATCTCCAACCTTATAGAATTTAGGGCATAGGAAATGCAAAGGATGATGTGGAATAAGGTCCTTTAGGTTCAGTCGGTGTGCAACAGTTCCCTGTCACTGCATGCTACCAACACTCATTATTCAGCTGACACCAGCAAGCCAGGCAAAGCTGTGCTGAAGTCGTATTTGCACAGCAATTTTAAACTTGACACTGAGGTCACACTGCAGTAATAAACTGTAGGACTTAAGGGGAGAGTAGTGAAGCAAGAGTGAAAGAAAGTAACACATGGCCTCTCTCTGCCTCTCCATTGTGCTCAGTGGGTACAACGGGCAGGTGCAGCACTTTAAAAACCACAGTAGCATTAGGACAGATGGTTTTGGTGCTCTTTTACTAAGCATGAGGTGAAATAGGAAGCAGGAGAACCACTTGTGCTGCAGTGCAATATTTCAAACCCTAATGAGTAGATACATGTCCAGCTCACATTCTCCTGCTGGCAGCTGAGGTGGGCACTGTCCATAGCTGCGCTGCTGCAGCGCAAGGCCGGTGTCGGTTCCTGCACCTTCAGTAGCTGCAAAAGCACCTCTGGTTACTAAATAACCGTGAGAGCTTGCTTCAGTGGAACCTGTGAATTCACCCTTACTCAAACACAAACTCAGAGCAGAATTCAGAAGACAGTGATTCCTAAGGAACTGAGGATGAGGGAAGACTTACTCCAACTATATTGTCATTTCCAAAATTACATCCAATGCCTCAGAGACTGGTCCTGGATCACTTTGCATAGCTCTTCACTGAGTCAGAGCATGGCAACTGGCAGTCTGTGTGATGAATCATGATCTCATGGCAGCACAAAGCTCTCACAGCCACCCTACAGCTGAACTCTTCCGGATCAACCCATCCACTAATGCACCTCAAAGGAATTTACTTCGCTAGCTCAAGAATCAGACCTTTTGTCAGTGAATCATCAGTTCCCTTGTAAAGCAGAGTGTGCTACTTGTCCACACTGCACAATTAGTAATACACATAAGGAGACTCAGGGAATGTTCATGACAAATGCAGAATAAAAATGATTATACATCCAGATGGATTATATAATATATAATTTAAAATTTTATTTTAAAACTTTGCACATACACTTCTTCAGTATCCTCCTCTTTTGTTCATTGCACTGAAAAGTTTCAAAAAACACAAAATATATCCCTTTACTAAACATTTTTTTGTTCTTAGGTTACAAAAAGATTAACATTTCACAGTCACAAAGCAGAAGTACATTGGTCCAAAACATCTTCCTCCAGCAGGTCCTCCTTTCTCCAGGACATGTAAACCCTAGACAGTTGTACAGATCTCAAGATATTACGATGAAGTGCCCCTTGAAGGAAAGATAAATGTGGCAGGTATTAAAAAAATCAGAATTAGACACCTATGAAAGAATACCAACAGCAATGGATAAAAAAAAATAAATGAGCATGGAGGTGGAGAGGTGGAGAAAGGCATCCTTCAAGTACATCACAGGTAGAAATACAGCAGCACAGTTACAGCATCGTTTGGTCACTCTCTCTATGACAGCCACATCACTGAGTCTTCATCTAAGACACATGGAGGAAAACTACTTACATACCTAAAATGTCTGGGAGGAAAAACAGTTCCACACAGTTTGCCATTCATGTTTGATAGAAAATTGCTGAAAGTATTAGTACAGAAAATGTAAAATAAAAGGAAAACACCAAGGCTGGAAGAAACACAGCAGATTTGCTCCAAGCATGTAGTGTTCTTTGAAAACCTAGCAGAAGTTCAGAGCCAAAATCTGCCCAAAAATCAAGAGCAGTTCCTCAGAAACACCCTGGAGGGACAGTTGACAGTACCTCACAAACAATATGTTGTCATATTTCAATGTAGAAGTAACTGCAAATGGAAATCCACTATAAACAGCAGATTCTGACCAGTTTTCCTTTAGCCTGTTAGCCCTGTTGTTTTTTAGAATTTATTAAAAAAATTCTCTCTCCAGTGTGAGGCCACTGAACAGCAACCCTCTCAGACAATACACTTTTGTGTTCATGAAGGAAGCATTATTGTCTTAATGCACCAAAAGATGGTTGTGTGCCTTACATAATCAGGTGTAAATTAAATTTCTAACCACCTTCTTCATCAACTTAAATAAAGAAAATTTTAGGCTGTAGTGCAAGAGAAAAATATCTGAAGTGGCTGTTCTACTTTCTGCAACAATATTTCTGGGAGAATGGTAAAAGCCTCTTGGTTTTGAGTTTCTAGAAAAGAAGACAGTGTTACGCTGCAGTTCACTGGAACTCCTCTACTGGTGCCTTTCCTTGCCATTATCCAAGGAAGGACAAGAATTTTCCCAACTTTCCAAGCAGTGCCTGTGCACTGGGATACTGGGATACAAAGGATACTGCGTGCAATAGCAATATGAACACAGATCTAACTCAGGGCTGAGGCTCCCTGCTGCTGAGGCTGTAGCAGTTTTGGATACTAAGGGAACTTGAGCGGCAAAAGCCAGAGCACTGCTGGCATCAGGCAGTAACTAAGATGACATGCCAGGGATCTAAAATTTGGACTTGGTGCCTAACTTGCTCCAGTTAGAGGACACAAGATGTCTGCTCCTAACTCAGGAGCTTCACTGAGCCCTAGTGTGGCTGCAAGTCTGAACATGGCAGTACCCATCCTGCACCCATCTGAAAAATGGCACCGTGCACCAAGGAATCCTCCCTGCCACCAGTGTTTTGTAATGCTGTGCAATGCAAAGTCATTCAGCCTTTAAAGGGAGTTGGAAGTGCTTTTAATTATTCTTCTTCTCACATAATATCTCCCCAATAAATGACTCCTGCCTGCTGTTTGTGTGAGCCTTAGGTGTGTGTATGTATTTATACCATGCCCTGAAGCAGAGCACAACCCCAGGTGTGCAAGAATTTCCTACTGAAAGCAGGTAAAAGTGAAAGCCCAAGTACTAATGCATGAATCAGAGATGTGCCAGACACTCCAGGGAGGCAAGCACCTAAATGTAGAACAAATACTTCACAAAAAAGCAAAGCAAAAAGCGTCACAGAACAGTTTCAGTCACATAAATCTGAGTAGAAAACATTTTACTAAAGTTCTCAGAATTCATTAATTGATGCTAATTGATACTAATTGTTGAAACTGTATTTCTGCCCTTTCTGGGAGAGGGGCTGACAGTGAACTTAACTCAACCTGGGCCCAACTGCTGCAAAGAAACTCCTGACTGATGGCAATGCCTCAGATGAACAACAAACACTGTGCAGGCTGATTCACCAGCCCAACAGATCATGCTCTGAGAAAGTAACCTGCCACTTCGCTCCCACCAAGCCATGCAGTCTGCTAACCCATCTCTTCAGGGGTACATTTAAAAACACCCCTGAATGAGAAGGTGCCTTTTCCATTGCCTTGGAGTTTCACTTTCAAATTTTGGCAAATGCTGCACTGGAAATCTACTTCCCCCACATTGCACTCAGTGGTTTTATAGTGACTGGTATGTGTGTTGACACCATGCTACCAAATGAAGACCAACAGTGCATGAGCACTGAAATATTTGACTTGGGCTTGTAGTTGGTACCAGCAAACACCAGCATCTTTGCTGTTCAGATGATTTCACCAGATTTGCCATCACTAATTTTTTTGTCAAAGAGGATGAATTGCTAGAGGGCTACACAACTGCATTTGCAAAGAGACAACAGGAGTTACATAGAGCATGAAAAGCACGTTTATAAGTTTATTAGGCCAAAAAAAAAAGAATAGTGCAAGAGAGGATCTCTTGCTTAAACTTTAAAACATGTGAAGGGCCATGTGAAAAATATTCTAGACTCCAAGCCTCTCTTTTCACCCAGATGCACATAGAAAAGGAGGTAAAGATAAAAAAAAAATAAGGAAAGAAAGCATGAAAATACGTAATCAGATATGCCATTGATTTATACTGAAGCTCTAGAATATAAAACGTCCACATTCTGTACAGCTTTATCACATGAGGCACTAGGGAACTCATGAACAGCTTCCAGGCTAAAATCACACAGCTTGTTGCAATGTTTGAGCTGTTCCACTCTCCACATTGCCTGCTTTCATCCTGAAAGTTTTCTGGGTCTAGAGATTTGGAGCAAGAGTAGTTTAAATCCACCAAACTGTACTTCTGGATGCAGTCAAATCCAGCATCTGGGCAGCTGCACCGCACTCGGGCTGCGCCGTGTTTACACAGCACATCATAAATTACAGAACCGGCAAGCTCGGGGCCACACCTGTTCAGGAGAAAGTCTGCAAAGGGCACAGCATCTCCTTCTCTTCTGGAAAGGACACAACGTTTGTGAGCTTCCTAGTCAGTGTCCTACAATGATGTCAGCTCCCTGTCTTTTTTCTTATTGAAGAAGTACAAACCAGATGAACAGCTCCACCGTAATGTGGTCTGGACACAAATGAGGTGGATGTTGGCTCCCCAGCCAATATACCTCCTAGATCTTTCTGATTTTGTTTTCTCTTGAACTCCTGACAATGAAGTAAGAGACCTACCTGCATGGACTAAGCAGCCAGGTTACACTGCAGACTTGCTCACTTGTTTTTCTCCTGGACTACGGCTTTCATGTCAATAGTGTTTAACACAAGTTTTCTTTATTTAAATGGACTTATCGCTGCTAAGAAAACAGCTGCTGAAGCAAGCCAAGGGCTTGTATCTATCACAGTCATCTTGTGATCCTTGAGTACAATTCTCAATGCCAAGAGGACAAAGTTTGAAGCTGTCCCTTTGTGATCACTGAAGTCAAGCAGGTGAGGTAAAAATAAATGAGGCAGGAAGAACTGAACCATCTTTGAAATAGATCACTATCTGGGTATCCAAATTGCTAATGAGAACAATACCACTCCTCCAAGTAGAAGTCCAACTGAAAATACACTCAGGAGCCCAAACAAATTTACTAAATCTCAACTAATGGGAGAATTTTATGGTCAGAGATCCTTTCAACAGGATAAAGCAGGCAGAACCATTCAATGAATGTAAATCTCTGATCCCAAAGAAACCATGGCCTCCAGGTAAACATCACATAAAGCTGAGTTTGCATGCTCTGTATAATCATGGTATCCACACAACAAGAAATCTTGACAACTAACTCCTCACACCAGGATGAATTCTGCCATACAGGACTGTGACCTATTTCTCCTGGACAACTTTGCAGGTGTCTGTTTTAGCTGCAGTAAACAGGCATAGTCACACTGAAACCCATTTCAGTTTTCCTACTAAAATACAGGAGGTATAGTCTACTGAAGAAGAGACAAGAGAGGAAAATAGGGGTTCAAAGGATTACATAAGCTTGAAGTTGTCCATAGATAAGTCATGAATACAACTTTCTGAAAGAAGAAAACTCTTGAGTCTCATATATGTATATCTATATTCTTAAATGAGATGTGACCCAAGTCCCCTTCTGAATATTTGGGGGTAGATTTCAGGAGCCTCCTTGGCTTCTGACACCTACTTTCACAACTGAAATGGCTCTTCCAAGCTACATGGTAAACTGAGAAAAAAATTAATTCCCCACCCCACCTAGAGGGATGACAGAATCCATAATATGCTAGCAGCATTTAAATCCCATTCCTGTTAAGCACCAAAACCATTTCTGCAGGGAAATTGGAGTCTTAAGGGTTATCTTTAATCATATACAGTATATGTGCAGAGCCCTACCTCTTGGGCAGAAAAATACCCCTCCAGCATTAGTTTTGACTAGATTACATCAATTGGAAGTGTCCTGGTCAGACCACCAAAAACCTATTGTCTCTTACAGGCCCTTCCCACAGAGGTCGCCATCCTGTAAGCACTCCTGGTGCTCCCCTCACGACTGTTTGTTGCCGTGTATCAAAGGGATGACGTAGACAGAGATGTCGTCTCCAGAGCCCAGCCTGTCGTTGGATATCCGCCAGCCCCGGTCCTTCAGCACTCCCCTGGCTCGCATCACCAGGTCCTGCGCCGCCAGCGTGTACCTGTGGAAAAGGCACAGTTTTGAGGAGGGTTGTCTCCATGAGAAAAGTGGGGTTTTGACAGCCTGCTGCCTGCCAGATTTAATGTTGTGACCTACCAAGACATGCTTCCCAGTGTTTTACAAGCAGACAGGAGAAACACAAACCATGGCATATGCACAAAGCAACTCCTTCCAGTTCAGTGACAGTTCCTGAATAAGAATGTAAAGCTATTTGACAGACACCACCTGATCAAAAGTCACTGGCCATTCTAAGTGCCTGGCTTCACCGATCTTCAGAAAAATATTAAACACAAATATTATATTTGCCTTAACAAATTTGCTTTCTAGTAGGAGTCTGAAAAATAGAGGACCCGAAATAACACTACCTGTTGAAAACTACACACTTGTTCACTGGCATACCTGAAGGTAAACATGGCTCAACTATTTCAGAAATGAACTGTAACAAAGAAAGTAATTTGATAGCAAGTAATAGAGCATAAAAAATAAAATGCAAATTTCACTTTAAGACTAACTTGTCTGTTTTTCTTGACCTTAGGAACAACTTTTGAATCTTTTTTATTCTTAAACTGTAAAAGGAAACTTACAGTTAATGTGATCAGATTAACAGAGTCCCACAGTTCTTTCACATGTATGAGTTCAGTGAACAATGCATGAATGTGAGTGGTCAAGTGCTTCATTTAGTGAAATACCAAGTTTCACATTGCTTCAAAACTCCCAGCCTGTGCTAGGCTGAGTGGCGTTGGATTTACGGGAGTTGTTTTTCTGTCTTGAAAAACTACCACATGCTGCTTGGGGGCAGAAGGGTGTCACAGTCCAAAACACAGACACTGTGCTGTCACGTTTTCCCTTACTGCTTTACCTTCTGTTACTACATCAACACATCTGTGTACTCACTTAGAAGTTTCCTCTGAAAGAAATCTCATTATGGGTGAACAGTTACTGTCATATGTTTTCCTTCATCAGCCCAACACCTGGCCAGGAGGTTTTGAATTCCATTGGGTGAAGGAAAGCTTTTCTATGATTTGATAATTAAAATTAACTGAACAGTTAAAATACTGACAATGGAAAAAACACCAATCTGCATGGTCTTTATTAAAAGTGTAAGCATCAACCTTCAGCATGATGCAGGGCTCTATGAAGCCACACACACAGGCCTCCAGAACTAAAGTATACCTCTGTGTTTCCAAAACCAGAAAGGACAAGAAGGGTGTGCATTTCAATACCCCCTTTTCTAGGGAGGATCCTTGAACAGAAATTATCTGCCCAGATCTCATTTGTAGAAAGGGAAAGAACAGTATCTTTGCTGATCAGAAGCACTGTGTGTGTATTTAGGTTTATCAGTTATCCAGGACTCTTCTAACCTTAGAACTTTTCACCATAGAATTCCTTATTAAGTTGCAATTTCTATCATAGAAACTTTATTCAGTCTCTGGGGATAAAAGGAGGAAAAAAAACCCAGTTATGTTCTGTGCCTAGAGTTCTGATGCCTTTAACTCAGAGCATTCTGCTGAATCAAGAGTAGAGATATTTGCTCTACTAGAAAGATTTCTTCAACGCAAATGTACCAATACTTGACTACTCAAAAAGTTTGATGCCAAATTCAAGTAATGTTGTACAGTTGCAATGCACTCACTGTTCCTAATGGTACTGGGTGATAAAATTTCCAGGCTGCACCAGTTTTGACAAATCATTTACTTTAGCAGTAAGAGGAGGGCCCAAAGATGTGAAATCTAACACACAAACTTGCATATACACATGCACTGTCTACATGTTCTGAGATCAGTCTGTGCCACAACCTCGAGCTAGAACATCAGGATGTAACAAGAAGCACGGCCCTTACTGTCCTAATGCAACATGAAATCATGTTTTCTAAGGGGAAAAAACCCAAACATACATACATGAACTCCTCAGTTCTCAAATCAGATGCAGGACTAAGGAACAAAAGGACTCCACGTGGCAAGCAAGGAACTGAAGTATTTATTCACAGCGTGTCTGATGCTGAGTGAATTTTGGCATGAACATTATTTCCCAAGGATTTCTTAGCTATTGTCAGAATTTATGAAAGAAACGCCCATCATTTTGCAAGAAAACTTTGCCTTCCTGCTTTTTCTAATTAACAAGGACTCTCCACATCTAAGGAGTACAAAGGAATGAGTATTGCTTTTGATTGTACTTGGCTTTTGCTGCTGAATGTTTGGAGAGGGGAAGATAAAAAAAAAAGGAATTTTAATAAACAAGAAATTCTCTTGTAGACAAACTGTGAAATATTCAAGAAAACCAGCATAATGAAGCAAAGAAAAAGGATCAGGTGAAGGCAGTAGTGAATTAACGTATTCCTCTCCTGTGTAGAGCTGAATTGAAGCAATGCTGTTCAACTTGGCACCAGAATAGATAGGGTGAGTCTCTTGTACCTGGAGATGAATAGCAGCAGCAGTCCATTACTGAATGTTTTATTCTCCAGTGCTGTGAAATTGGGATTCAGCTGTTGAGACAGCAGTAGAGAACTGCTGAAGTAGTTTGAAAGTATCCACTTCCTCCTAATGAATAGCCTTGCTGAAATACAACTTTTGTATTTTAAGAATAAATACAAGGAGGTTTTTTTCTTATGCCAAAGCTTTCTGTATTGATCAATGAAAGTACTGAAGGAGAAATGGTGACAGTGGGGGAATCATGCTGCTGTCTGAGCAGCTTCTTACCTCCTCACACCCAGCAGAGGTGGAGGAGCTCCTCAGCATCCTCATAAATCCCTAGTGAGCATGAGGGAGAAAATGAGAGGACAAGAAATGACAAAAGGAAGGATGAGAAACAGAAGATTCCCAAGGTCAGGAGGTAAACATGCATACATGCAGCTGAAGGAAGTTGGCAGTCATACCTCTTTAAAGGGCTGATGTATGGATGGCAGCAGTGGCCCTGCCACCTGTCCTTTGCTAGGAGCCCCTACAAACATTATATGTTTGTCTGCCACAGGACCCATAAGAAATGAGCTGGATAAGAAATCCAGCTCCATCCCAGCCTCTTCACTCCATCATAGCCCTCACAAAGGAACTGTTCTCTAAGCAAGTCTGTTCCCAAATCCCCTGAGGCTGTGCCTGCATGGCAGGATGAAGAGAGACCTGAGGACTTTGCTCTCCCTGCACTTGGAGACATCCAGGCACATGCTGTGTTTGACAGAATTCGGAGATGTTTTTTATGTGGGCAACAAATACAGTAAATTTCACCACGAGAGAGTCCCAAGAGCATTGCTGAGGGCTGTAAGCTCTTACCCATCAAGCTATAAAGTGACTTCTAATTCAAATGGGAGGGATATTGTTCCCACAAGGAGCTAATTATGTAACAGATAAGTACTCTGTAGCTCTAAAATCCTCTCTAGTTGGTTTTTTTTTTTTTTTTTTCCCTCTCTCTTTTCTTTTCTAATATACTGCTGCCAGGGAATAAGTAGGCTATTGGGTCAGGTGAATCCAGGGGCTGCTCCACAGGTTGGTTCCCCTGAAGACCACAGCATTGCCAAACCCAGGGTGCAAGTCTCTTACATTCTGACAAGTTTTCTACATCCCTAGAGATATTACATTTTCAGCTGATCACCTCACCACAGATTATGTCACTGCACACATCACAGGACCTGACATTTTCTGGGATAACATTTCCTTTAAATATAACATTTATAATATGGCAAAGGAGATTTTTCTGTCACTGACTAGTGAGAGGAATGAATGCAGCTCCACAGCTTGAGCTGGAATGCTACTGTAAATTCATTAGTTATACCTCATTTAGAGCACTGTGAAATAATTACATAGAACCTCTCACACAGTACTTTAAAACCTTTAAATATTCTTTACAGCCAAGCAGCAAGAGCAATTCCACAAAGGCAATTTTCATAAATATCATTGTAAACTATATCAGGGACTGCTCTAATTACCTTTTGCATGCTGGCATGAGAAATGTCTTGCCATCACTATTTGTAAGCCTCTAAACGATCTGGCACAAAGTTGCTGAAAAGAACAAATTTGTTTACAATTCAGAGGCCCATTCAAAGACCAGTAGGTCAAACACCAATAAATGTGTTTGTTCTAAGTTATAAACAGGAAGCTCAGCTCTGTAATGTGTGGTACTCACACTGGCACAAACAAGGACTAATTCTGCACTATTACTAAACCAGTATGAGAAAATCTAATCAAAACAAAGAAAATACAATTTTCCTTTAGTGTCTCTCATTGCTCTGAGTGTTCTATAATGGATAAAAAATTACTCACCTAACAAGTCAAAAAGCTTGAAGAATCCTGCTTCCTACTGCAGCAATCATGGTGTCCATCACCATCAGCTTAGTAAAGACCAAAAGGAACAAGACAGACACAACACACTCTGACTGCATTTACAACAGATGGGACTGGTGAAGGTGGAAAGCAGAAGCAACATTTCCCAATTACTAGATGAGAATGGAGACAGAGCAGGACAGAGGTATTGCGTGTTACCAGGTGCCTTTCAAAGAATCTCAAGAGTGCAGGAATGAGAACAAAAGCACCTTGGCATTTCTGAAAGGTGTTAGGGAATAACTGAAAGTCGGCTGGATGGGTCATCTCCTCCTACCTTGAATTAATGGTATGTCTGCATAGCAAACTGCCAGATGCCCTGGAAGTGCCCTTAGCTGATCCTGTCCCATCTCCTCCCAGAGAGAGGGCAGACACAGCTGCATGTCTTGCTGAATTAGAGATGGCCTGAGACTGCCATTCATACCACACCTTATCTTTGGCATAAGGAGATGGGCAAAGTCAAAATATTGTAGTTGCAGCTTCATGATAATCATCAATCATCCCTTCTCTCAATGATTGCAGCAAAACCTCTTTTTGCATTCTGTATTTCTAAGTGTCAGGACAAGAAAATACTGTTGTTGAGTTATTTTGAAGGTGTTCTCTCTTTAAAATCCAAGTCACTGTCTAGGTATCCATACCCAGTTATCTTGTTTGTTGATGAACAGGGCTGACCCTGTGAACATGACCACCTAGAAATATGTGGAACAGCAAGCATTTTGAAATGGGTCTCAGCTATTTCTGAGACTCCACTTTACATAGATCAGCTGGGGATGTGTAAAATCTCTCTTCCCCACTCTCAGCCCAGGGTGAGGGCAGAACACTGTGGGAGACGGCCCTAAATTCACCAGCAACATACACTTTCCTTCCTGAACAGTCCCTAAGAACAAATAAAGCTCTTTCCACTTTCACAGTCCCATTTACAAGCAAGAGACTTCCGATCCCCTGCATAATGTTTTAATTCACAGTGACACTGAACTCAGTAGCAGACAAACCTATGGACTCACTCCAGGCAGACAGCCTCTAGATGGTTGTTTGGGAACTTGTTGTTTGTTTGCATGACAGCATGTTTTAAGGACAGAAACTGATAATCTAAGAAGTGATAAAGATAGAAAAATGAAGAGCATGAGGTAAATTAAAATGGTGAAATGACGCAGGATCTAATTAAATGAAATAAAAGTCAGACTTTCCACCTATTTTGTCACCACACCTGTCCTGCAGCTGGTAGCATTGAGCATCCTCTGTGGAAGGTGGGTTTAAAGGTCACACCATGACTAGGAACAACTGGGAACCACAGTGTGCAGTATTTATAAACACACAGAGTGAGAGAGAGAGGGAGATGTTGAGGATGTCCTGAGAAACCATCTCTAGTGTTAAGGGATTGTCCAGAGGAAGGACTTGTTGCCATGTTCTTCCCAGTCTCCTACAGTTTTCACAGGACTTCATACAGCAAACAAAATGGATCCCATGCCAAGACACTGTGATCCCACACCTATTCCTTTGAAGATGGGCATTTTTGAGTTATAACAGAGCCCCTGCTCCAACTGCTCACATTTGCTGTAGAGGCTCCATCCAACCTATAAAAATGTTCTCTTGTAAGTGTTGCATATTTACCAAATGTTATTCATATCATACTTTCTACAAAAATATGTTACCAGAAAGTGTTCTTCTATGGAGAAGCTGGAAAATCAGGGATGAGCACGAACCTGTGGGGATCATCAGGGTCACAGTTTGGTAGAAAGTTAGTGACAGCTTCTGCTACTTCTTCATTTAACAGCACATCCCAGAGTCCATCAGTAGCTAGGATCAGAACATCATCTGGCCCATGCTCATACTGCAGGAGGTCATAGACTCGCACCTAAAAGAAAAAAACCCAAGAGACATTAGTGAAGGAGGCGACTGTGAGACCTGTTTGTGAAACATTGCTGAGTTTGGCTGTGAGTTTATCAGGTTCAACTAGGGCACTGAAATAACCTCCCATAGCACTGGTGGAGTCTGTCTCCAATTCAGCCCTCCACACAGCAACCCATCCTGCTGCAGCTCCGTGTGGCTCAGGTGCTAACCCCAGACAGGATGGATGCAAGCGTTCCGAAACCAGGCTCTAAGGCACGGCACTGCCTGATGCCAGAAGCACTTGAAGCCTCCCCCACCCGGCAGCCTGGCTTCAGTGCATGAGGCTCCTCCCTATCATTGGCAGGACTAGTCATATGGAAGCTGAATAATTTATTTGATGAATTTTTGATATTTTCTAATAAAATATTCACAAATAATTGTTTTCACTATTTGTCCAGATCCATTTAAGTCTGCCAGATTGCATGTTTGGAAATGCCTGTGTGACAGCCAGCATTGCATTCACTTTTCTAAACCTGAGGCAGCTGCTGCACTCAAGAGTTTTGCCTGAGCAAGTGAGTGGTTCCATGAAATGCAGAAAAACTGCTCAGTCACATTTATCTGTAAGGCTTTCAGTAGCTACAGACCGATTAGGGATCTGCACAGAGATGAAGCTTATTTGTACTATTAAAATACCCATTGACTTCAACTCATCTGTCTGCAGCCCTAGTCAGGCTGATCACTGCTGGCACCTCTTAACACCCTGCCTTTTAAAACAACTTCCACCATCCTCTTCCCAGAGAGGCTGAGAGCAGCAGAGGCAGCCACGGTGGGGGTTGCTACAAAGCCAACAGCTGAGCCAGAATGCAAGCAAAGGCCATAGAAAGTGTTTTAAAGTAAGCCTTCAGTTTGGTGTAACTCCCCTTCCAGCATATGCTGCACTCCAGCTGAGAAATGCCTGCAATTCCCAGGTTGTGATGGGGAGCCATTAGGAAGCACCCACAGAGCACTTTAATTACCACAGCAACAACAACAGTTTGAAAGAACTGTAACAACCACGGCAAGGCAGTCAGGAGGGAAGGATCACCTATACTGAAATTCAGAAACAGGGCACCTCATCATGAACCCTACTCCAGTCCTGGACTCCACTAACAGCAGTTAGTCAGGACAAGCACTTGCCATAACAAGAAAATATGAGCTGTTTTATTCTGCCTCATGGTGCACTCTCCCCTTAGGAGCCATGAAGCAGGCAGTGCATATAAAATGCCTGGACTTTTTAATGTAATTATGCTTTTATGGGACTTCAACCAGTACAAGAGGAAAAAAAAAATTTTAAAAAATCACCTAGATCTCACTGCTAATCCTTACCAGTTCGCCTTTCACTCAAAAGCACAAGAAGGTCATTTGTAAAATGTAACCTTCACTTCATTATCTAAGGTAGCAGCTGAATAAGGACTTGGGAGAGGATTAAATTCAAGGCAAGATACTCTCTTCATTAGAGCATATCTGCTTATTCAGACTTGAGTGGGAATATAGAAAAGACCCATATATGCAGCACAGCTCTCATCTCAAGCTTTTTGTACAGAAATCAGTAGCTGTCATAGTTCCTGTGTCCCAGAACTTAGTTCAGCTTTAACAGCCCACAGTTGCAACTCAGAAATCACTGGGGTGTGGACGGTAAGTCGGCCAACACAACCATCAATATACAGCACATGTTCTGGTCAGATCTCTTGGGGACCAGCAAGTACTTGAGAAAGCATCAGAGTTAATGCTCAGGGATGCACTCAGCACTAAGGCTCTGGTAGGGCTAACCAAGCTTCAAAGATCTGTGCTGGGAAAAGCACATCCCAACTGAGGCAAAAGACACATTACAGCACAGGAGCCATTTCTGCAGCTTAGGTGGGGAAGAAGGCGGGAAAGCAAAATCATACATCACTGATTGGAATCCTCCTGAAAAGAACCATTTTGTCTGACTGAAGAGCAGCACTGGGATGCATGAGAAACTTTTCAAAGCTACCTGCAGCCAGTCGATGGATCAAAATTGAAGAACAACATCAAGAAGAGATCACTTTACCAAGAATATGTTTTGTTTTAGGGGAGCAGGAAAAAAAATACATTCACTGATTTATTGTGCAATCTAAGAAGAAGGGTACTTCCTAAAATGACAAGCTTTGTGAACTGGGCTCCTCCAGCAGAAAGGAATATGTTGAGAAGAAACTAGATGCCAAAAGAGATGGAGAGGACAATGAGGTCTTAGGCCAGGAAAAGAGACTGCCAAGGTTACAGGAGACAAGCTTGGGGCAACTGACATAAAATTGTTGCATATAAGGACCAGTTGGGCATGTAACAAAACATTCCGTGAAATTCAGTTTTCTCTGCCTTCCAGTTGCCTTAAAGTCCTTTCTTTGTGTCTTGCTTTGCATTTCTTAAATACAGCTGTAGGTGCCCCTAATATGTTGCCGACAAAAAAGAGTTAGAGCTGTCCAGTCCATTGCAGGGTCAGGTTATGTTCACAGACTGCCTTGTCCAGGTGCAGAAAGTAATCAGCTTCTAACCCTTCATTTTTCTGCCAGCACCTTTGTTTGGGTCATTGAGGGTCTCTTGCAGTAGCACCCTGTGCCTTCAGCTGGACTTGGAGCAGTGTGACAGCAGAGCTCCTGGAGACACACAGGCTGGGGAGCACCACATGGAATAGAAGCTGAGCCCAGCAGGGCTCACTGAACACCCACTCCACACACATCCCACGCTGTGCAGCACCCATAGCACACTCCACATTGTACAAAAAAGGTGACAGAGTATGATATGCCACAGTTTTGAAGTATGAGGAGACATCCAGGGAATTACCTAAGTGCCTGCAACAGCAATGAATCACATAGCCCGTTAAATCTTATGTGACCAAAAGCAGCTCAACGATTGCAATGAAAATTACTATGTTGCTTTGTTTTTTTAAATTCCAGTTTAAACCTTCCCAATGACTGCCTCCTTCCTGTAGCTGCATTTCAGTAAAGAGTGAGGTTTAAGGAAAGTTCTGTCTGTGACACAGGTTTGTGCAAAGCTGCTCACACTATAAAGCAGCATTGAAGAGCCCTCCTTCAGGTGACAGCTGGTCAGACAATGACTGGCAGTATAGAGGTTTCCTTAACTGGTGCAGCACCCTTGACAAATTTCCTAACAATGCCATCTTAAATCTTCAGTCTTCTCCTTGTCAATTGCTCAGCTGGACATCTGCCCTGAGAGAGCCCCACAGAACTTGTGTCCTCAGCCTCCTATGCTATCCTGAGAGCCCTCTCAACAACTCCCTCCAGCTTACCAGCCCCTTCTGGGGGGAAAAGTGAGTTTCCTACTCTTTAAATTAATCTCTCTGGAGTATCAGGGCAGCCCTGGAAGGAGCCAGGTTTGTCACCATACTTCTCCAATCTGTTGATGTCTTATTGATGTAAAGCAGCTGACCTGCTAACTAGCTGAACTTGATGTTAGCAACCAGAAAATGTAAAAGCTATAAGGAACAAGAAGAAGAACCTCAGCAGCACAGCCAGCCATGAAGCCACAGCAATAAGCACTGGGTTACCCTTATATCCTACCGATAGGAGAATACTAGTTAACATGACTAGTACTTACAGATCTGCTGAGAGGTAACAGTGGATACACACTACTAGAGCCCACAGTCATACACGTCTTTCTGAACATGCATTACGCAGTTTGTCAAATTCTTCAATGAAGGTATTTGTTTCTCATATTACATATTACCTACATGCAGTCAAGAGCACTGAGAAAACTGCTCTGGGCAAGCAACGAACAAACAGGTGGGCTGGTTTTTATTTACATTTCAAACAGATCTGCCCACTGGACAGACCCTGCCTTTGGCTGTTGCAAAGGACCGCAGCAGCCCTGCGAAGGCGCTGTGCCTCGTTTGCCAGGTTTGTTTTTAAGAGGCAGCCAACGCAAGTCCCTGTGGCTGGAAAAGCGCTCACAACAGAGTGACATGTGAGCCTGCAGCCACCTGAGGTGCTCCTCAGCAGCCGGCCTCGAGGGAATTCCAGCTAAACAACAGCCTGCGTTCACTCGCCTGCACTATTGATCAGCCCAGCTACCTCAGTAAATTAAGCCCTTTCTTAATTGTATTGTCCCTTTTATGCGCAGTGTTACCCAGTGCAGCTTTTCCTGGCAAATGATGAGATCTTTCAGTACCACTCTCCATGTAATTTATATGTAAATAATAAAAAGTGGGTCCCAACACTGCTCCCTGCAGCATTCACCAATTAATCTCCTTTTAGCTTTTTACTGCCACCCTTTGTTTCCTGCCCGTTAGCCAATTTCCAGTAGACTGTGCCAACTTTCCACTTTGTAGCTTCATATCATTTACATTGTGATATAAAAGTATATAGTTTATACTGTGATGCACAACGGTTTCTCAAACATTTTCTGAGGAATCAAAGTGCTCATGCAAGAGCATCAACTGCATTTATTATTATTATTTTAATTCTCTTGTAGATATAACCTCAAGGACCTGAAGCCACTCAAGTGTGATGTTTGCTTCCTGAAGCCACTTTGACCCCCTTTGATCCCATACTCTCTATGTATTCGCATTACTTGTTCCTTTTGATGGCATAATTCCTGAGGATTTCTCCGGAAGGCAGATGTGAATCTAAAATGGTCTCTTCCTCAACATATTTGTGGAGTTATCAGAAAGATTTTACTAACACTATGGAACAATGAAAATTCTTCTACATTATCATCTCATCATTTGCTCTGGTGGCTGGCTTTGGGTTCCTTGCTGTCAAGGGCCAAATGCTGCTATCAGAGCCACATCTAGCGGAGCTGCCATTCAAAAAATTTCGGGATGAAATTCTGCTTTTCATCTGCAACAAGGTGGCTCTTACTAAGCTTTGAAAAGCAGAATTTCCTGCTGAAAGCTTTCAAATTAACTCTTCCATTATGAAAAATAAATATTTAATTCCATGCCAGAGAGCCTCAGCCATGGTTTGCCTGCTTTGTGCTACTCCAGTTCATTATAAGAGGTTCAAATCTCTAGAGCTCACCAACCTGCAGAAGTCCTCCAAATCTGGTCTCATAACAGCTGAGCCAGTGAATAATGATTACATTTGTCAGTCTTGGCTGCATGACTTTTCCTCCCATAGCCTGGCACTCTGTCAAAGTATCATTTCACACCACCCTCAAATTACTATTATACGCCTATTTCTGGATGTAGTCTCAGGGATGTTTACCTCTCCTTGAGCTATATTTTGGTGGATATGGCATACCAGTGCTTTGTCATAATGGAAGTAAAATGTGCTGGAAGAAAACTCACCACACTGCCTCTTACTTGAGAAAGGACATTGCAATTATGGCACAGAAAAAGAAGCCAGAGAACTTGGATCTTCCCTCTCTCACGACTCACTCTGTGCCTTAATTTCCTGTGCCTCTTTTTTTCCAGGTCTGGAAACCACACATTGCGCTTCCCTATCTCTATATAAACAATTCAAAATCCACTGCTGCACAGGGACCAAATATGACTGCTGCCTGACATCACTGCCTTTGCTTCCAAGTGCCAAGCCTCCCAGATGGCAGAATAAAGATGTTGTTTCTTAAAGCTGGTTTCTTTGCAAGGTGTGCTGCCCATGTTTGGACAGAACAAGTCAGGGAAAAATATGAGGAGTTCAAGCACTGGGGCTCTCTCTGGGAAGAGATGATTAAGAGGAGAAGGTGCGATGGAAAGCAAGATGGAGCATATGCTACTTCCTAATAATACTCAGGGTTTTTTTGCCAGCATCTCTAAATTAAGGTGGCTGGTGCTCTGTCTTTCCTCCTCCTGCCCTCATACATTTCTGCTGAATTTAGCTGTGAAGTGTATGTGGAAACAAAGCCAGTTTTACTTCCTTTTGCAAAGCAGTTAAGAGATCCTGAAACATGGCTAGCATACGAACTGGATGCCACATTCCAGAATTTGAACGTGTATGGACACATTCCCCACAAATCAGAAAAGCCCATGAGAAGCTTTGGTTTATAGACACACACAAACACTGCAGCAGCGATTGGCAGAGATGATATTGCTGGGATGCTGTGCTGCAGCCATTATGTACCCCAAAACACTGGGTCTCAGCAAGCCAGAAACAAAAATAAATAGGTAGAATTGCATCATTTTTCTGGCATAAAACAAATCCATCCCAGTGATAAGGGCAGAGCTCCTGCCTGCCTGAGGAGAACAGGAGCAGGTCTCAAGTGAGGGACACCACACATTTAAAGTGGGAGAGAGAAAGTACACAATTGATAGGAGGGAAACATGAAGAAGGGGCTGTCTGTAGATCTCCCTCTTTTCTTCAGGGCTGGATTCTCTCAGCACTTTTAAATTTTTTATTTTTATAACTGGAATTTTACTATACAATTTCTATAATATAAATATAAATATAAATATAAATATAAATATAAATATAAATATAAATATAAATATAAATATAAATATAAATATAAATATAAATATAAATATAAATATAAATATAAATATAAATTTTATCTCTCTGTTTATAGGCACAGGGACCACACTGCCACTCTGTGGAGTAAAACAGATCACCTTCAGTTGTGGGGTGGTTTGTGGTAGTGCATCCTTCCTCCTTGCCCCTCCTCAGGCCACACTATGATCTCAGAAATGCTGTCAGGCCTTGGCCTTGATGAACAGCACCTGGGCTGAGCTCCTCTCAGGCTTATCAGAAACACTGCTCCCAGGAACCTGTGCTGTCTAATGAGCACCTGCTTTTTTTCAGACAGCCTTGGAAACTTACTCTTCTTACCTGAATAATAACCCAAATGGAACAATATTATAACAAAGTTATCAAACTTTCAGAGAAAATTACCACCCAAATTGCAGGCAGAATGGAAAATTACTATGGCTAAAGCCAACTTTCCTGCAACCCTATAAACAGTGAGTCCAAGTGAGACCCTCTGAGTTCTCCTGGACCACAGCAGGCTGTGTACATACTCTTTGAGGTCTGTGTACCTATGAGTGTGAATATGTTATAGCAAAGGTGCTAGGAATGTCGCTCTCTTAGATTCTTAAATGTTATATTCATAAGTTAAGCCTGTAAGTCAGTTACTGTTGTGCTTACAGAAATTCTGTAGAATCTTTTGTTAAATTGTTTAAATTCAGCTACTGATTAAGTGTTGTTAAAAACTTTAAGCCTAAACTGGTGGTGAAGTCTGGGGACAAGTTTGGCAAGGGGGTTTACTCTGAACCTTGTGACTCAGCAGGAGGGTCTCACTTACTCCTTTTTATCCTTACCCTTAAATTTTTTTGTCCCTAGCTCCCACATAGATAATTTTTGACTGATTTTAGTTTTAGATTGATTGATTTTAGATTTCAATCCAACTTTTTCTCTGTGTGCTCCAGCCATGTAATAAGTAGTAGAGTGAAACCTGCCAACAAACTTTGTCGTGCTTTCATTTTAATATTAAACATGCTTTTGCTAATACTTTTGCCAGTGATTCTTTGAGCAGCCTGAAACATTCAGGACAAATATGCCTTGGAGATATGCCTTAACTCTAAGCAAGGTTAATTTAATAATTTGGTTCCTTCCTAGCAGTATGATGTTACTTGTGTGTTTTTATTCTCATACTGCTAGAGCAAGCAACAAATTCAAGGTAAAATACCGGGTATGGTTAAAACTTTGGCAGTCCAGTTGACAATGGACAGTTATCAGCACTTGGGCCATGGAAGCAAAGCTGCTTCTTTTTGTGCTGTCATCAGATGGTTTGCCCTTGCTTAATATTTTATGAAAAATATGTGATATCTGTTCCTTGACATAGGAACAGGAATGCAGTTACAAAGGGAGAAAAAAAGCAAGGGTTGCATGCCCTTTGTTAACAAATACATTTAAATTTCTTTGGAAGGCTTGATATCCTTCACTGCAAGTGATCAAAACTTCACTCCAGTGGTCAAAACCTGGGTGGAATTGCTTGCGATGAGGCCATCTAAATTGATAGAAACATTTAAAGCTACCCCTAACCTGAATACCACATAATCTCCTCATTACACCATCATTTGGGAATGCACACTGTCATTATTTGGTGTTTGCAAAGAACTATGAAAAGGATTAAGAACTGAAGGTTAAGGGGCTGACAGATTGAAGCATAAAGTATTCCCCTTATGGCTCTTGGCATTCTCCCGCTTAAGAGTTGATTGAGTATTCTCTGTGTAATGCAGGATACTACACTGCTGCGGAAGACATCCCTTCTGCAATACATGGATTGACACCTTCTGTGAAGGCAGCATGATCTAGGCCTTGACAGGAGCTGGAGCACATGAAGGTGGAAGGAGAGATGGGCATCTGTAACACTGAACAGCAAGGCTATTGGATAACCATGGAACAGGGAGTGAGAAGGAATCAGTGCTCTGCAGGGATGTAGAGTAATCAGAACTAGAGCACACAGCTGGGGAACTTAGAATCTGCTATGAACCGTGGATGTTACTATCATGCTGCACCTTCGGAAAGGGTAGCATGTTACCTGGACTGGATCACAATTAGAATGGATGATTTGAGAAGAACAAATAAATGCACTAAGTAAATTTATTTCCCTCTCACAAATCAGATAGTTGAACCTTGGCTGTTTTACCTCAGGAGATGAGGACAGGAAAGGTTTGATGTATATATTGGAGTCGTGCACTTTCAGGTCATGGTCTCCCAGTCCTCGGGTCACTCCAATTGTTGCCATAACCCGAGCCTGGAAATAAAGAAAAGCAATGGGATAAAGTCTTGTTACATGGACTATGTCAATAGGGAATGAGACAACATTCCTACTCTGTAACTGCTACAGTTAGGGATGAATTCCTTTTCTCTCCCAGAAACTCTAAATTTAACATAGCTAATCAGTGTCAAAGCTTTTCATACTCATGCCATCTACATTTTTCTCCTTATTCCAAGCTTTGTTTTCATTCACATCCCACTGAGTCATCATCTCTAAGGTACTAGGTCTATAGAAACCTAATCCAGTTGTTGTATATTCCCTTTACCAGGGGAAGTGCCAAAGGCCACTCTGAATTGCTGAACACACAGTTGATAGCAGCACTGACCACAGTGCTCTCTTCTAGGGAGAGTCAGTCTACAGCAGGTCTGCTGTTCCCTCACATCTACCACTTCCTTCCCACAGCACCTTCCTCTGTGACATGAGCACTGTCCCAAGAGGTTCTGGGCTCTCCTTCATTAAAGCTGCTCCAAAGACTGGCCAGGCATTCAGCCTCCCAGGGAATCCTGCTCTGCATATCACCTTCCCCAAACTCAAGCTTAGCCACAGTAGCTTCTGAACAAGGGAGCTCAGCATCACTATCAGTGAGCAACTGAATCTTTTTGCCTCAGTGAATCCTGGCTCCACAGGGCAATAAGAAAGTAAATTAAAAAGATGTGCATGAAACATTTTGCAAAAAATTATAAATTTAATGAAATTCAGAGATAAGCTGCACATCTGAACCTTCAAAACATGGACTAATTTTGAAGAGTGTCTATTTTTGCATTGAGATAAGAACCTAATGCAGCAGAGGAGCACTGTTTAGAAACAGCAAGCATACCAATATCAGCAAACTGACACCACTCTGTCCTTAGATTGATCCTATTGCTGCATCCAGCTAAGCTTGCTGGGACCAACACTAACAATCTCACTGTTCTTAATCACAGAGCTGAAAGCAAGTATAACAAACAGAACAGCGTTTCTCCCTTTCAACTGTCAGCCTTCACACATCAGAAAAATTCAAAGTGAGTTCACATACACTAGCTGAAGAAGATAAGGTTAAAAGGTGTTATACTTTACAAATCCTGCCCTGATCCCTCCTCTTCCTAAGTTACAGTTTTGCATCTCAGAGCACTATTATCTTCCTGCTTTGTTCTAGTTATATTTTACACTGAAACAGGAACATTTAAAGTCAATTACTTACGACAGTGTCATTGGAGCCCATTTACAATGAAAGAAAAACAAAAGCAAACTAAACAACAAATGACTGCTGTAAAATGCTTATTACTATGTTGAGCTCTCCCCACCACCCCCCAGACATGAGACTGATTTATGACAGAACCAAGATATTCTTTCAAGCTGTCAAAACAATAAAATAAAGAGATACTGAGTGGAAAACACCCAACTGCCATGGGCTAAACCGAGTGGTAAACAGCACAAAATTACTTCTTCCTTTGGTTTGAGGAAAGTAAACGTGCCCACCTTCTTGCCTTCTCCATATATAAGGGGAAACTTCAAGTCATCTTCCTCAATGGTTTTGTATGCCCTGTGGCGGGAGGACAAACAACATTTATGAAGCTTGTACTCAATTAGTGACCCAGTGTTCTGAAACAAGCAGTTGAGATTTCAAAAATGGGAGGGGTGGGGGGAAGGAAATTATTTTTCCTAGGGACTCTGTCTTTGAACCAAGATGTAAATTCATTTTTCTGCAGGAAGGTTTTCTGTAAATATTTACAATTACACCGAAAGGAAAAGTGAAGATGGGAAAACATCTAACATGCCAGGCTGCTCCTATTGATTGGAAAGAAAGAGGTGAACTGGAGTAACATCCTAATCAGTTAAGATATTGTCAGATATGATACCAGCTACACCATAATTCATTGTCATAAAAAACCCCCAAATTCAACCAAATAAAAAAACCCAAACGAAACAACCCCAGATCCAAGAAGCTAACCAATGCCTAGATTCACACTGTTAATGTGAAACGTGAGCAATGACAGGACGTGTGTGTGAAACAGCTTTCTGATCCTGTTCTCACCCTCCAGGACCGCAGAAACCAAGACAAGCTTCACGTGCTGAAGTCTTAGGATTTAGTGCTCATTTGACCTTGACTGCAACAGTCAAGATTGTCAGAAGTTTCACATTTCACAGCTTTCCCATGGACAAGAGACAAGAGAAGTAAATGCTCATGCTCCGATTCTGTTCACCGCATGCCTGCGTACTCTACCTTTTACACATCCATCTGTTGACACTGATGAGGTGAGAAGGTTAGCAATTTTGCCAGTGAGAAATAATAAAAAAAAAAACAACAGAAGATAACAGTCATTGTCATAAGCTGTAGAGTCCTGTGGTTAGTATAATACGTGCTTGAACTCAGGTGCTGGGGCACCTTTCTGGCTAAGGTACATTGCCCCAGAGGGACATGCTTCCCTTCTTACCACAAAGTCGAACCTCCTCAGCCTTTCCTTGCATGTTGTGCTTCCCTCCTGGCCTGTCCATGCCCAAAGCCCTCAGGGTGATACCAGAAACACCCAAGTGCACAAACAGGAGGGGGACAAAAGGTGCTGGGCAGGTCCCCTGCCATCCACTGCCAACCTCTGCTGTGTAGCTCTTCACTCTTCAGGATGGCTGCCTGAGCTCCAGAAAGTCAGTTTAAGCTTGGGATTGGTTTAAGCAATGTTAAGGCTGTGACTAAAACAGCAGGAAATTAAAAATTAAGGGTGAAATCCTATATTGCAATCAAACTTACCAGTTTCACCAAAATATGGCACAGGCCTGGGATCAATAAATGGTGCTGTACATGCTGCATCACCCAGGCAAGCCTCAGACTTACTGAGAGTTGCTAGACATTTAAGCCCCACCGTTACATTTCCCAGTAATCACAGGAAGGGATCATATTAGGGTTTTGGAGGTGAGGAAGGACCAAGAAAATAAAGACAAGCAACCAAAATGCACAGAAGAAACAGTAGTGGAGGGCTCTCCTCACATACTACAAAGCATTACTATGTATAAAATCCCAAAATGAAAATAGGTGAAGTTTGCAAAATACAGTGGGTCCTTCATGTAGTCAAGAATATCTTAGGACATATAGCCATAATATTTGGCCATCTCTTTAAGACACAGTACAGTGAAGGCATTCAAATGGCATTCTGCACTGGGGAGGGCGAATAAATTAGGTCTTAAACCAAACAAAGAGGCAGAAATTACTACAAGTAGCCAAAATGATAATACTTCCCTGATGTTTAAATCCTGGAATAGCATTTAGTTGGTAAGGAGGAGTCAGTCATAGCTTTTGCTCTTGTTCCTTCCTTTATTTGCAACAAATATCTCTGCCTCACTCACTAACTTGGATATCCTGGTTTGAATGTAGAGAAAAAAATGCACTATTTCTGACTACTCATGAATATGTTTCAAAGCTTTCAACTGGACCTACAGTACTGGAAGCCTTGGGAAAACATCCTTGAGGAGTCTGAACTATGCCTTGCATAGAACCAATTGTTCTCTGCCACCAAGAAAATGGGTGTCAGCTGAGTCCATTGTGGGCATCAGTCAAATGACTAATCAAGCCACAAACCTGAGAAGTCAACCATTCCTACTGAATGTTCATGTTGTACGTATTTGTTAAAATAGCAAACAAAATTAAGATGATGTGACTAAACTACTTGCAAAGCCCTTCTTAAAAGAAAAAACAAGCCCTTTATATACAGGCTACATTATCTGAAAGGTAATTACAAATATTTAAGATAAAGCCTTCACTTTACACTGCCCTGTAAGTTGACAAAAACAGGGACCAAGCTTTTTTCCTTCTCTCCTCTTTTCCTTATATTCTCCTGCATAACAGCTCACATTGAATGTGCTTTAAGAAGAAGGGAATAAAGAATCATATAGGCCAGTGTCCTTCAAAAGAACGCTCCCCACTGCTGAGTCCAGCTTCTTTTATGGAATCATTACAAAAACCACTGTCCCTCAGGCCTTCAACTATGACACCTTGGTGTAAGGACATTGGGGGAGGCCATGTTTCAGGGGCTGCAGCTAACTTGCTCCATCAGCAGATTAGGGAGAGCAGCTGGCTAGCCTGTGACCTCCTGAAGCTGTGCAACTAAGTGAAGGAGGCCCAGAGAGCTATGTCATAGTCCTCATAGCCTGTCACCTCTTGGGCTTGGAAGCTGGGTGTCAAACTCATCTCAAATGAGCTGCTGATGTTGCTATTGCCTGAAAAATTATCATCACTTAAAAATCAATGTTCAGAACTGCAACCACAGCAGTCTCTGTAGCACAGATACACTGAAAAGCAACCTGAGACACTCTGGAAAAGTACCTATATCCTGCATTACTAGAGAAATAGAATTAATAATATACTAGTATGTGGTTTGCTGCAAGAGAAGCATGAAGCACAGTTTTTCAGCTAACAACTCAGTAACTGCACTGGGGAGATGGAAAGAAGATAAGAAGTTCATTTTAATATATGCCCTGCAAAACCTCCTGTATTTTTGTATGTGGGTTTATTTCACATAGGCGACAACCTTCTGGACTATTTATCTTAATTTTATGTAATAAAGTTGCATTTATACTGTCATGCACTGTATATAAAGATATAATATGGCAGTAGATATATCAAACACAGACATACAGACAACCTGAGGGGGTGGCTTGGCTCTTTTAGTGCCAGCACGGCCTTATTCAGTCCCCTGCATAATTCCACCCAGCTCACTGCTTTAACAACACAGTGTTACAACCCTCCCCTCTCCCTCTCCTGCATGTCCACATCCCAGGAGGTTTTGGTGGCCACCAGGGGATAACAAGGAAGGTTTTAAAGACAGAGCAATGCTACTGCTTCTAGCTCTGAATGAGCCTAAAGCTTGTTAAGTGCTTCTGCCACGTAAGCCTCTATTTTTCCAAATGGAAAAACAGGGGGAGCAGTGGGGAGTAGAACAGGCAAGCTCGTGCCCAGCTAGATCTAGCTGCATTTTTTTCAGTTAACTTTGTTTCTTCTTTTCATTTCAAAAGAATTATGAAATGCTACTGCTGTCCAAAAATACTGAACTAGGTCTTGACATATGTACCACCCACAAAGTTACATCTGGACTCAGGATCAACATTTTGAAAAACCGGGCCAAATCGCACCAGGAGCCAAAAGAGATGTCAGAACAAAAGAACTAGGACTGACATGATGTTACTCATATGCTAACTGAAATCTGCTCTAAATGCACGGTGAAAAAACAAACAGGAGCTACTAAATGCACAACACAATCTACAGAAGTTTCTTAGAGTGCTGGGGTCATTAGCAGTGCTTTAGCACTTTTTAAATAAAAGATTATCAAAGTTACCTGCATATTTCTGGGTCAGCTTGAAAAACCAGTCAGCTCCCATATGCAAATTTCAGAGCCAAAATCCTAGATAAAATCTTACATGTGTTATGAGTTCTCCTGCCATATAAGTTGTTCTTAAAATTTGCCTTCTGAAAGCACATACAAATTCATGTAAGAGTAGAAGTTGATGACTAAAACCAAAATCCGCATTCCATTTTCTTTCATGGCAAACTGTGTTAAGATTACTGGTCATGAAAAGTATTGCATTGGCATCCCCAGGCACAACAGATGGTGTTGAAAACACAACCTACCCTGACCTGGAAGGTTCAGTTCTGTGCATGACAGGGGAATCCAGACTCTGTGCTCTGCTTTTTCATGGCACTTGGCTTTAGAAAGTTTGTGTTTCACATCTCTGCTTGTGACACCTAATAGTAAACTGAGAATTAAACCTAAGGAAGAGCAAAGAAAATCATCATCAAAGGGCTTTAGCTTGAAGCATAGAATAAACCTACTTGTGGCAATCAACCAAGAGAATGTACTTCTGCTTCATAAAAGCCCTAGTCCACACTGAGTACAACGCTAAAGGCATCTCTGAGACAGGTTCATAGATTTCATGTATTTCTAGCACTGTTTTGCTACCACTCTTAAAAACCCCCAAACCTAGGGCCATCCATAAACCCTCCACTTGCCCCAACTCTCCCCCTCACCCAAAATAACCCAGCTCACAACAAAACTACTCCAGCTATCCAAATAACCTCCTTCTCAACCTCAACTTTTTTCGGTCATACCAACAGAAAATCATGTTTTAATCTTCAAGCAACACACAACTTGATAGAAACTCTTTCCTTCCCCCTGCCCCGACCCC